GCACACCTTCCCTCTTCTGGTTCCTTAGAGGAGCTCCACACACTCCTGCTCCATTTAGTCCAGTTAGAGGTGGGGCTGTCATTCATAGTGCCTCCGCCCTCCACCTCATCCTTGACCCAAAGTAGAATCAAAAAGATCCCATCCCTCCTGCCAGGGATGGGGACAACTCAGAAGAGTTCATCTGAGGAATGAAGCCGGATTAAGACAAGCAAGGCTGACTGACTGAGAGAGATGGAGAGGAGATAGTCCTAAAAAGATTTTTTTGAACTCTTGGATCCCTCTATGCAGTTTTATAAGCAAACAGATTTTCTTTTTAGAGTTCAGGGAGTTCAGAGTCCTGACAAAATCATATCATTTTCTCAAGTAAATTCTTTGCTCTCTCACCTTTTTCCTCCCTCATTACATTTGTTCCATCTGTGGGTCCATATATGTGTCTAATCAAAGCTGGCACACTGTGTTACAACTAGTCTACCACTAAGCAGAATGGGGATAAATAAGAGATCAAGTGGTCTAAGGTCCCCATACCATCCAAAAAAAGCATAGGGATATTTATCACTCCATAATTTATCAACTTTGGTTAAATTAAAGTTTCAAGGGTAACCATTAAAGGAGAGCAAGTGCAAAATGTCCAAACTAGAAAAAGAGCAAGTGACTAAAACTATCCCAAAAGAAGGGAAGAAAGAGCTAGAACAAAATGGAGTACTTGCAGGACAAATACATTAAAAGCATAAAATACGAAGACAGACGTAAACCTAAATACATCAGTGGTTATATTAAACAAATATAGACTAAATTTTCCAAAGAGACAAAAACAGGTGATAAAAAAAACAAAACCCACATGCTGCTTATAAAAGACAAATCTAAAACAGCACAGAAAGGATGAAATGAAACGGATGGAAAAAGATATACCTGGCATAGACTAACTAAAAACAGTTGGTGTAGCTACACTAGTATCAGATAAAATAGAATTTAAGGCCTCCCCTCCTCCAAACAAACAAACAGACAAACAAACAGACAAAAACCCACCATTCTTTTACTAGAGATAAAAAAGGCAACCTCATAATGATAAAAGGTTAATTCACCAGGAAGATATAACTTCGTATTTGTGTACACTTGATAATAGGGCTCAAAGATATAATGCAAAAAATTAAAAGGTGAAATAGGCAAATTCATAACCATAGTTGGATATTTTAACACATTTCTCTCTGTAATAGCTAGAATAGATAAAAATAAACTAGTAACAACAAAGAAGATTGGAATATAATTAATAAATTTGAATTCAATAACTGCTGAAGTCACATTACTTTCAAGCACACATGTAACATTTATAAAAATAGACCACAAAAAGAGCCCTAACAAAAATCTCAAAGGATTAAAATTATACAGAACAAACTCACTGACCATAATCACTTAAAAAAGATAACTAGAAAATACTTGTATGTTTGAAAATTAAGAAACACATTTCTAAGATACCTATGAGTCAAAGGGGAAATCACAATGGAAATTGGAAAACATCTGGAAATAAATGACTAAAATACCACGTATCAAAACTCTGAGCACATACTAAGTACCATCTGGAGGACAATGTGCAGCCTAAAATGGAAAGAATAAAAAGGACAAAAATGAATGAACTTTTCAAGAAGTTTGGGGAAAAAAAAACCCCAAAATATTTCCAAGGAAAGAATGAAAAAAGAGCAAAACTTAATGAAAGAAAGAGAAAACCAACTTACTATGGAGAATATCAGTGAAGACAAAACTAGTTCTTTGAAAGTAACTTCTACTGAAACTAAAGAATTAAAGGGATAAAATATAAAAATGAACTGTAATGAGAAGGGGGACATCTCTGCAGACACTGAAAACGTTAAAATAACAAGGAAATATTATGAACAATTTTATATAAGTTTGAAACCTTAAAAGGAACCAATTCCTGGAAAAATATCACTTGATAAAACTAAAGAAGAAAAATTTTTAATTGTGTTGGAATCATTAAAAACATTGAATCTGGGGGCTCCTGGGTGGCTCAGTTGGTTAAGCCTCAGACTTTGGCTCAGGTCATGATCTCACGATTTGTGAGTTTGAGCCCCGTGTTGGGTTCTGTGCTGACAGCTCAGAGCCTGGAGCCTGCTTCAGATTCTGTGTCTCCCTCTCTGTCTCCCACCCTCACCCCACACTCTGTCTGTCCTTCTCTCAAAAATAAACATTTAAAAGAAAAAACCAAAGGGATGTCTGAGTGACTCAGTCAGTTCAGCATCTGATTTTTGCTCAGGTCATGGTCTCACGGTTCGTGCATTCAGGCCCCACGCTGGGCTCTGCTCTGACAGCTCAAAGCCTGGAGTCTGCTTCAGATTCTGTGTCTCCCTCTCTCTCTGTCCCTCACCTGCTCACTCTTGCTCTCTCTCTCTCTCTTTCAAAAATAAATAAAAATTAAAAAACATTGAATCTGTAGTCGAAAATAACACAACAAAAGAAAATACAGTTCCAGACCCTGATGGCTTCATCACCAAGTTCTCCCAAAAACTCAGGGGACCGTGGAAAAGAAACTAGAATGGATGGTGGAGGAGGAAGATAACGACTTTAGTTACACTTTTGCACTAGCTACAGCAGCAGAGATTGTAATTTGTCCCACTAACTCTCCTCTAGTAAGGTTTCCCAGAAATTGTGACCAACCAGAATCGGGGAGCTGTATCTGGATGGAGTAAATTTAACAAAAGAAAAGAATGTATTTCAATGGAGTGTAGAGAATACTATTAGTAACCTAACCAGTGTCTCTTTACTAGCTAGCATCCTCCCCAGATGGAGTTTCACATAGGAACTCACAGATGTCCCTTCAGAAAACTGCCACTTCACCTAGTTATACTTCTCCCCCACTCCTGCCCCCCATACTGCTTCCCTCATTCTCCTTTTCCTGAGCACTTTTCCCAATATACCACTTGAACAAGAATCCCCATTTCAGGCCCTGCTTCTAGAAAACAGGATCTAAGATATCACCATTTAAGAGGGTAAAAAGAGAGTCACAGAATAGGAAAAGATACTTTAAAAACACATAACTCGGTGCGCCTGGGTGGCTCAGTCGGTTAAGCACCTGTCTTCGGCTCAGGTCATAATCACATGGTTTGTGAGTTCAAGCCCCATGTCAGGCTCTATGCTGACAGCTTGGAGCCTGGAGCCTGGAGCCTGGAGCCTGAAGCCTGCTTCGGATTCTGTGTCTTCTTCTCTCTCTGGCCCTCCCCCACTTGTGCTCTGTCTCTATCAAAAATAAATAAATGTAAAAAAAATAAAAATTAAAAAAAACCACACACATAACTCAGGGCGTCTGGGTGCCTCAGTCTGTTAAGCAGCCAACTCTTGATTCGGCTCAGGTCATGAGCTCACGGTTTGTGAGTTTGGGCCCGGCATCAGGCTCCACACTGACAGTGCTGGAGCCTGCTTGGGATCCTCTGTCTCCCTCTCCTCTGCCCCTTCCCTGCTTGCTAGTTCTCTCTCAAATACACTTTAAAATTTTTTGGAAAAAAAAAAACCAAACTTTAAAAAACCCCATATAACTGACAAGGGACCACTAACCAAAAAAAAAAAAAAACAAAAACAAAAAACCTCCAAAAATTAATAAGAAAAACTGAAAAGCAGGCAAAAGGCTTGAATTAGGCAGTTCACAAAAGAGGCCACCCAATTAATCAATAAAAAAGTGCTCAACATTAGTTATAACCAAGGAAAATAAAATTAAAACCACATAGGATATCACTCTAGGCCGACGAGAATAGTTTAAAAATTTTAAATAGACAATACCGAGTATCTGCAAGGATACAAAGCAGCTGGAGCTCTGACACGCTGCTGGTAAGAAAGTAAACTGCTACAATCACTTAGAAAACTGGAATTATCTAGCAAAGCAATTCCACTTTGACATATATAACCTAAAGAAGCTTCACAAACACAATAGCAAATGTCTAAGGATATGCTTGGCTGCACTGTTCTTGGTATTCAGAAGCTATAAGCAACACAAGTATCTAAACCATATGACACAAATTCAATGTGACATATATCATGAAACACTGTTAGCAATGAAAATAAGTGTGGTAACCTCATGGATGCAACACACAAACAAGTATGGCAAAAGCAGCAAACACAAAACACACACTACGGTAGGATTTTCTGTAAGAAATTTAAAAACTAGTAAAATTCAACTATACTGTTTTAGGGATGCAGATATAGGTGACAAAACTACAAAGAAAAACAAATGGTTATCACGTAAGTCAAAATAGTGGTTTCTTCTGGGAAGGAGGTTATGATTTGGAAGGGAGACTACTGAATATTGGCAATGTTCCACTTCTTGACATGGGCGGTGGTTCCCTGTATGTTTCCCTTATGCACATTTGAGGGGTTTCCTTGCATGCATTCTTGTTACAGCTAATATTTTTAAAGTTTAAAATAAAGACAATGAAACAAATATATCAATTATTGTTTGATTCTTAGAAAAGTTGAGGGAATTTCATTTTTAAATTAAAACCTTGTCCCCAAATCTTTAACAGGGTATATACCACTTAAATTTTGCAATAATGCCTACTTTTCTCCACTACAGGTGGAGAAACGGTCTCCTGGGAACAGATCGTTTTTGCCAAGAGTTACCAGAGGACCCCTCTTATACATGAAAAGTTGAATAGGCACACAAAGTTCTGGGGTAGCTAACTGCCATTCCTGAGAATCCTTGGTAGGCAGAATCCTGGAGGGAAAGTAGAACCAATTTGCCAAAAAGCCCTGGGTTAGGGTAAGGAAGGGACTGAATCTCCAAACCTTGACAAAAGGTTTGAAAAATAGGGAAATCTAGGTGGTCTGGGATGACCCTGACAAAGGCTGCTAGCACAAAAGGGTCCCATATGCCCCCAAAGGGAACTCATGGGAGGACTGGGGAAACCCAGCCTGGTGACATGCTCAACACACTGCCCAGAGTGAGGTGCTTTGGGGAGAATGGCTAAGCATGTGAGCACAAACTAAAAAAAAGCTCTAACCTTGGAATCCAAGCATGGGATCAAGCTGGCGGGAACCTGGTCCAATAAGGGCGTTGAGCAGCAGTGACCACACATCCTTGGACCGTGCAGGACAGCTCTTCAATAGTGATACCATATAGCTGTGTCAGAAATAACAAGGTGGATGGACTGCTCAGACTCTGCAGTTCTCTCTCCTCTGGAGAGTGGAAGACTGACTTCTTTGGATCGTCTAAGTTCCCAGGAAGTTTGAAAGTAGGAGATATTGGAATTCTCACTAATGAGGGCATTAAAGAACTTAGGAGATGACTTGGAAAGATAAATTTTTGACTGCATTAGAACCCAACAGGTGAAACAAGACACACAGGTTAAACATCTGAAACAAACTCTTAATCAAATGGCTCTATTATCTACCTTTATACATGCAGTACCATATGTACGAGTAGGAAACTAATATGTCACTCACTAAGCTAACACAAAGAGGGAAATGAGAGAAATTAGCAGGCATTTCAAACAGGGCCTATGACAGGTGACTTAAGAGAGGGTTCATTCACTAAGACAAATGGAAAGAACAAGGGCTTCTTGTACCCTCTATTATTACCATGTGGCTGAGGCACATAAAAGGAACTCGTTTCTTTCACATCTTCCTTGAAGAGCATCATTACTATGTGATGTCTTCTTGGTTGCCCAGGACACTCCCTCTCACCTGAGAGCTCTTGCTGGCTTCTAATCCACACCTTTATCAGAGCCCCACAGATCTGCCTGCCTCTTGCATGTGGGAATGTCCACAGATTATTCCCCCAAAGATTCTGAGTTCCCCAAACCAGGGTCTATCTTCGTTTTTATCTGTTTCTGCTTATTCCCACTCTTCTTGGGCCTGGAACCAATACATATTTGTTAAAGGAAAGAATAAAGGAGGAAGGAATAGTATGAACGCACTGCAACTGAAAAAAAAAAATTGAGGGCCACCACCAGAGTACAGACACCCACAGCGAACTGGGGACTGCTTGACCACATTTTACTTAACAGCTACTTGTGCTATCATAAAAACAATTCTTCTGATAACCATGGAAACCAAAACGAAGGCACTGTGGCGAGGGTGGCTCTTTTCAGAAATAATACACAATAAGAGGCCTGAAACCAGAAAGACAAAGAAATCCAAGTGCTCCAGGCCAGAAGGAAATCCTTTCCTAAAAGCCCTGACAAAGCAGCATTTTCTTCAGTTTCCAGAGGTTTCAAGAAAGGCTCAGGGACTGCCTTGACAGATCATGAAATAATTCAGACCTCTCTATGTGCTTCTGTCTCTTGGGGCCAGCTGCTAAGGCAAAAGCTCGCTGGGAGACAGAACTTATTGTTATCATAAAATGTATTCAGAACAAGCAAAGGGAGAGAAACATATTTCATCTCTAGCTCCTAGTAGGTGTACAAGCACACAGTAGGTGCTCCATAAATACCTGCTGAATAATGAAGAATCAGGTTAGGACTAAGGGGAAGCATAGCATCTGGTTAACAGTGTGTGTTCTTTCTACCACCTAGGGCCAACAACCTGTTGGGTGCTGAGGCCTGAAGTCCTGTCCTCATTCTGGGTCCAGTTTCTCCATGTGCAAGAGGAGACAGCTGGATTAGACAGTTTCCCAGGCATCTTCCTACTCTAACAGTCAATCACTGTACTGTGCTTTTTTTGGTGGCAGCACATGCCTGGCACTTTTCTTTCCCCTCAGAGGGAATCTGATACCCATCTGCTCCAGTACATTAATGTTCCCATCCTGCCTGACTCATTTGGTAGGAACAACAGGTTCACATGCCAGTGGTAAATGAGAAGGCAAAGGGGGCCCAGAAAGAGAAACAGGGAAAGGATCCCACTTGGCCTCTTTCTTAGGAAACCAAAGCAGCACTCTTTTTAGCACTAACTATTGGGAAACTGAAGTGCGATTATTCTAAACACCTCTCACGCGAAGCACTCTCTAGCTTACTAAATTAATTGAATAATATATATATATGAAAAGGACTATCCATTGAACATTTCTGTGCCGGACACTGTGCTAAGCTCTTTATACTGAACCTCACAGCAACCTCATGAGCTAAGTATTATTATTATTGTCTTTTAACAGATGAGGGGTCTGTCTGGCTCAAGGTCAACAGCTGGTAACTGGTAGAACTAGGACTTGAACCCACGTCTAACTTACACCAGAGTTCCGGCTCCTCCCATGGCTTTCCCACCCGTGCTCCGCCGTAGTCCTATGAGGGAGGCAGAGCAGGTGTTACCACCTTTACTTTAAAGATGGAGAAACAGACTCTCCGAGAGGCTTGCGATTTGCACAAAACACAGGGGACACTTAATAGTAGCTGCCCGGTCCCAGACCAGTGCCCCAGCATTCCTGGGAGGGGGGCTCTTCCCACCCCAGGAGTCGGCTTCTTCCTCTTGGACTTCGCGTACACACTCGCAAAACCTCAAGGCTGAAGGCAACCGAGGAGATCCACCTTTCCAGCCGGGTCGTTTTACAGGAGGGGAAAACGAAGCACTAGGCGCGGCTGAGCCTCCAGGTGCCAGCAGAGCGCGGGGCCGCGGGCGACCTGAGGGCACCCTCTCCCGGTCCCGCCAGGGCCAGGTGCTCAGCTTCTGCCAGGACCGAGCGGCGCCGCCAGGCGCCCGGGCCGCCCCCTGCTCCGGGCCCCGGGCATCCCGGGGACGCGCGCGGAATAACTTCGCCCTCAGCCTCCGCGGGCCGGCCGTCTCTTACCTTGCCGGGAGCTCCCTGGAGCGCTCGCCCACAGCAGTCCGGGCCGCGGGAGCCGAGCCGGAGCCAGAGCCGGAGCCGGAGCCGGAGCCGGAGCCGAGCCGCAGCCGAGCCGTGAGACTGCGGCGCTCGGCCAGGGGCGGGCGGACGCGGCGCGAGAGCCCCGCCCGGAGGCGGACAGCTGCGGGGCTCGTGCGGGCGGGCGCCGTCACGTGACGCGCGAGGCGGGGGATGCCGGGAGCCGGGCGGGCTGGCGGCCGGAGCTGGGCTCCCCGACCACCGCAGCGGACAAGGAGCCTGGAGTCTGCAGGGAGGGGAGCGGGAGGGAGACGCCGGGGGCGGGTGGGTCCTCGGATGCTGCCAAGTCGAGCTTGTGGAAGGACGATTATGGCTTGTACTGCGTGGCCCCAGAGGGGCAGAAATAGAATCAGTGGGAGGAAACTGCAGGGAGGTATGCTGGGGTCAATATAAAGATTCTTCCAATCATCAGAATTATCTGTCAAGATAATGGGCTGTTCCAGGAGGTGGTGAACAACTCGGTGTGCACGCAGGAGCGGAGTTCATCCATTCAACAAACTAACCACTGGCTATGGGCCAGGCGATATATTGGGAGTATGTATTAAATTCTTATATGCATAGCGTTTAACACATGCCTGGCACATAATAAATGTTGCATAGGTGTTGTTGCTGCTGGCATTATCATGGGCACAGAAATGAACGAAGCTGATATGGCTTCTCTCCTCCTGAAGCTAAATTCTTGAGCGGTAAGGTAGACAATCACATACCATTTAAATAAACATGTATTTAAAATTATAGTTCACCGAAGGAACCCTGATTTTAAATTATGGGGCAAGGGAGGGTGGTCAGGGAAGACTTCTCAGAGGAGGGTAAGGAGATAGCCAGATCGATGAGAGGCAAGGAAAACCTCAAGGAAGGCTTTTGGGTGGGGGGCGGGGGGCAGAAGAGAGGACTGCTCTTGGGGTAAATGTAAGATGTCCGGTTCATCTGAAGCTTATTGTGTTAAAACAGTGTAAGTGAACTTAGGTAGGTTGGTGCCAGATCATGCATCACTTAGTAGGCCATGATAAAGGATTTTAAAATTTTATGTAAAAGGAAGCCACTGAAGTGGTGGAGGGTGTGGGTGGTTTGGTATCTTTTTAAAATAGGATGCTGGCTACTATGTGGATAATAGGCAAAAGAGTGAAAGCAGGGAGCTTGGTTAGGACTTGGACTGCAGTAATGATAGTGAAGACAAAGAGGAATAGATTTGATTTTTTTTTTTTTTTTTTTTAGGTAATCAAACCGGTTTGATGTGGGGTCATTAAAGGGATTCCTAGTCTAGCTTAATCCACTGACTGGGGCCCATGGAGGTGCTATTTATTGAAATGGCTAACTACTGTAAGGGGAACATATTTAGAGGTGGGGGGAGATTAAGAAATCAATTTTGGACTTGTTAAATTTAAGATGCCGTGTCACCAAATGAAGTGATCAAAAAGGCAGTTGGATATAGACCTCTGAATTTTATTTTATTAAAAAAAAATTTTTTTAACGTTTATTCATTTTTGAGAGAGAGAGACAGAGTATGAGCGGGGAAGGGGCAGAGAGAGAGGAAGACACAGAATCTGAAGCAGGCTCCAGGCTCGGAGCGGTCAGCACAGAGCCCGACGCGGGGCTCTAACTCATGAACTGTGAGATCTTGACCTGAGCCGAAGTCGGACGCTCAACCAATGAGCCACCCAGGAGCCCCTAGACCTCTGAATTTTAAAAGAGAATGTCAGCTACAGAAATCTAACTTGAGAATACTGTGAAAAAGAAATTATCGCACCGGATTGAGGTGATAGCTGACCCCTGTGGTCCCATTGACCTCTTTTAGTCCCTGGTTCTATAGAATGTAGTCTATAAAAAATGTATTCCATCTGTTACTACCACATGATGAATTTGGTATTACAGATTCTGGATGAGGCCCAAGTTACCATGCAGCTGCTTTCTTTTACAAATTGAAACAAAACAAAACAAAAAACAGCCTTAGCCCAAAGCCAACTATTTCTTTTGAGCAAAGACACAAAGCTGTACACACAGTAGCCAGATATAGTAGAAAGACCACTCTGATTTAGGTCAGATCAGAATAGGGGTGGTTCACAATACAATGAGCTTGATGATTTATCTAATTGATGACTGGCAAAGGTGTGACATGTTTAATCCTTTGAAAAGTGTCCCATTGTATGAAACTGGCAGTCTAGATATATGTCAATAAGCAATCAAAAGCCCGACTTTCTGGATTTGTGCCAGCCAACATTGTTTTGCTGCTTCTATAGAACAGCGAAGCCCTTCAAAAGAGTGCAACGGCAACTCCCTACAAGAGCGTGCCGTCTGCCTTTCCCAATGATGCAAGCCTCAGTTGCTCCACGGAAAATGTGACTTTAGGTACTTAAATACAAGAACATTTGCAAACTGCAACTGAGTTCTCCTTTCTGACTACACCTCGTTCATGTATGCCTCTATTCTAGCACTTGCTGTCTACTGACTTCTCTCCTCTGTTAGACTAGAGAGGACTTGCTCATCTTTGCTCAACTAGCACAGTTGGTATTCATTGCAAAATGAGTAAGTAAACATGCACAATCTCTTCAGCCATGTGAACTTTATTTACCCTGCTTTATAGAAAGTGAGGCTGACTGTGATTTGTTCAGGGTCCACATAATAGACGTGTCATCCCATTGGCTGCCCAGTTATCTGAACTCCCTACATTTGGGAATTCCCCATCTTTGAGATCTTTCACTATAAAAGCCAAAAATCCAGTTATTTCCTCTGCTTTTCCACATGACCCGGACACTACAAATTAGATATTCCTGGACCATCAGTTGGAAGCCAGAGACAACAAAGTGGAGACTTGGCATAATTCTTTGGTGGCCATGGCAAACAGCAAGATGAAGTTCTTAGAACACTGGCTGTCAGGATAGTGCAGGGCTCTGGGTCTGTGGCTTTGGCAAGTGGTGGCATCTAATCCTCAGCAGAGATCTCTTCACTGCACTGGGTTGTACTCAGTGACCAAGTAACAAGGAGTGATGTTCCAGTTGCCTAGTCTCCAAGCCTGGTTCTCCAGGCCTCCTGGTGTTGCTAAATTACCTATAATCCTTTCAATGAATTACTTTTCTCTTTAAATCTACCCAAACTGGATTTGGGTATTTCAAGTAAAAAAAATATGACTCATATAGTCACATAATTAAGAGCAGAACTGAAGCTATAACTGAGAACTTTTAACTAATTCTAGTGTTCTTTCCAAACCAATAGACCTCTACCTCCAAACAATGCATTTTTTACACTACATATTGGTGCCTTGAAATCACTCGGTTCACCATTTATCCTTTTAGTGCCAGTTGATTAACGAATATTTCAAACGACTGCATGGTGAGGCAATTGCCAGTACAACAGTGTGAAATGTAGCCATATCAGTCAGTACAGCTGCTTAGGTAATGTTTGTTTGTTTGTTTTGCAATTTTGTCCTTTATAGACAGAAGTGGAAAATGAAGGTACTATGACTAATATGGCTGAGAAAAAGATGAAAATTATCAGGTGTGCTTAAAGCACATTTTTAGCCTCAGTAGAATGCTTACTGGATTAAAGTCAGCTGTGTTTTGTGACGGAAACCGTTTAAGAGCGTTTCATGCAACACTTCCGATACTGTGTTTAAAAGGCAAAGTAAGTGGTTTTGTAATGTTTTTACATCTCAGTAACAAATCAACTTTTCAAAATGCGATTTCTACGTTTTTGTGAACTTGTATAAGCTTAGGCAAGTGGCACCACATAAGCATACCTGTAATACAGCACGCGTTTGGCCCTGCGTGAAGTCCATAAGACAGGGCAGGGAAAAGACCTGGTGCTTTATTTGTAATTTCCTACTGAAGCCAAGAAGACAGGTTACTGAGCGTTGTTCTTGTGTAATTTGGAACTGCAGTATATACAGTAGCCAGCAGATGTCAGGATGGGATCTCTTTCGAGAAAACAATAAACAGGAGTTTCTGAAAGAACTGAAGGTTTTCTTGTTCTTCTGTGCTCCCCACTCTTCAGTCACACTGGCCTTTTTCTTTAAACACACATGCTTTAACACTTTTCCAAGGCTCCTCATTCTTTTATCTGGCCAGTTGCTATTGATCCAATCTTCATGTAAGGCTTCCTCAGGGAGCCCTCCCCAACCCAATGGGTCAGGACTCCCCTATTTCAAGTTCTCACAGCTGCCTGCACTTCCCCCCCACAGCAGCTTATATAATAGGATGTGTAACTATTGATGAATTAGGTAATGTTTGCCTCCTCTGCTAGAATATAAGCCTCTTAAGGATAGGTACCATGACTGAATTCCTTTCTGTATCCCTCAGCTACCAGTGCCTGCTACTCTGTAGTTACTGAATAAATACCTGTGAATGTGAACCTCCACCAACGAAAATGGGAATATTTCTCTGAGGCCTGGACAGCGGGGATTGTCTGAAAAGTCACTAATTTTTCCACCTTCAATTCAGTAGTCATTTATTCAGCCCCTACTTTGTAAAGATATTATGTGGGACAGAAAAATATGTGAGATAGCACTTGTATTCAAAGAGTCTTTCGGGGCGTCTGGGTGGCTCAGTCGGTTGAGCGTCCGACTTTGGCTCAGGTCATGATCTCGCGGTCCGTTGAGTTCAAGCCCCGCGTCGGGCTCTGTGCTGACAGCTCAGAGCCTGGAGCCTGTTTCAGATTCTGTGTCTCCCTCTCTCTCTGATCCTCCCCCGTTCATGTTCTGTCTCTGTCTCAAAAATAAATAAACGTTAAAAAAAAAAAAATTTTAAAAACAAAGAGTCTTTCAGTAACAGAAAAAGATGAGAGAAAACTTTGTCCCATAGTGGCAATCTCTACTATACAGTATCCATGTTCAGATTCTTACTCATTTCCATTAAAGAGCCCTGTCTGCAACCCACCCCACCTTGGTCACAGCAGTTGAGTTCAAGAAGGAAATCTTTCTTAGCTTCCAAACCTTTATCCTAATCTGCTGGGATAGTTCCTTGACAATATGCTTTTAGCTTTTAAGAACAGCACTCAGACTCCCATTGTAGGTTTTCTCAAGGCTAAATACTTCTAATTCTTTCAATCATTTCTCTTGTACCATGATTTCCGGATACCTCCAGTGCTTTCTACTCTGGCAAGTTGGCTGCTCTTGAAGTATTTGTCAGATCTGGAGACCTTAATGTTGTAATTTTACAAATGCAACCTAAAATTGCTTTCAGTTTTAGTTTTGACTCTTATTCCTAAACCAGTCCAGAATCTCAGAATTGGAAGAGGCCTTAAGGTAAACTCACTCACTGCTACCCAAAGCAGATCCTGGACCAATTAAATCACCTGGATGCTTTTTAAAAAAGTGACTTCTGACTCCATCCATAGTAATTCTGATTCAGTAGATTTTTTTGTTTAAAAGCTTCCCATGTGATTTGGTGTGTAGCCTGTTTTGGAAAGCACCTGTGCACACGATGCCTGACACTGCCTTATATAACACACTCATTACCAGTGCTCTTTTCCACTGTACTTGAACCTCTCCTGTGGCAGGGGCCCACCACCAAGAGGTACCTGTGTATGAAAATCCTTCCAACCATTCTTAGTATGCATTCTTTGATTCCTAGGTATCTGACACGCAGGGCCCATTTACTCCTAAAATTGTTATGTGAACAGAACATCAGTTCCCCATAAACACGAAGACACATTTATCCTTTTCTACCAAGAAACAAGTATTGGGGCTCCTGGGTGGCTCAGTTGGTTGGGCGACTGACTTCGGCTCAGGTCATGATCTCACAGTTATGGGTTCGAGCCCCACGTCAGGCTGTGCTGACAGCTCAGAGCCTGGAGCCTTCTTCAGATTCTGTGTCTCCCTCTCTCTCTGCCCCTTCCCCGCTTGCACACTGTCTCTAGCTCTCAAAAATAAACATTTTATATGTATATATACATACATATATGAAATATACTATTTTACCATTTTTAGACATGGATCAGGAAGAAGGAAATAAATGATATTTTGAGTCTGTATTATCTAGGGCAAAGTTTACTACAGTGCTTGCTAGCAAAAGTGAAGGTTAGCTTAAAATGGGAAAAGTAGATGTTAAACTAAATGCCTTTCCCTTCAACCCTTTCCCAGCAATCATTGTTTCACTAAGCTAGTAATATTTTATTAAGGATATTTTATCTTTTGTTTCATTTGCTTGAGACCAATGAAAACAACAGTTATGAAAATTGAGCATTTATAAAATTTTAGTTGACATAAAGATTCAATAGTAAGCCTATTAAATTTTACTCAAAAGTACAGTAAAATCAAATAAAAGCTGAGTTTTTACTAATGATATTAAGATGAGCAATTCATTTGACCATTTCCTATATTTCCTTGTTTTAATTCTTTTCTATCACATTTCTAAAAACTTTTTTGTAATATTTGTTATTTTAAATTATCTATATATTGCTTCTCTGTCATCAGTTCAAATAATCAGAGGCAATGCAATCTGAACCTTGGGAAGAAAAGCATCTTATAAACTCCCATTGCTGTATGACATCCAGCAGTAGTCTCCATGATGTTTCCGCACTGTCCCATAAAAATTAGTCTTCAGTCTCTTGGTATCATGAACATATTTTCAATTAGCGATTTTCTTTCCTCCTAAATGAACGTACAAATTGGGGGAGAATAAGTCATGGGAGTAGGTCAAATGTGGTCCTTATCAGACCACACCATACATACTTAGCTGTGAAACCAACAAACTCTTAACATACCATCTCTTGTACTAACAGCACATTGATGATATTTCTCTCTTCAGAGACAAAACGAATGAAGCCTATTTTGCAGAACAGGAACTTTTATCTCCATGGAAACTGAAGGAAGGATATTTTGGGCATACAAAGAGGTGTTCAGGGCTACTGCTCCACTGTGTTCACTCCTACAGTTGCCCTCAGCAGGACTGACCCCTCTATGTTCTTCCTGTCCACCAGCTACTTCCTGCCTTTCCCTTCTTACCCAGCTTAGATGCCTTGTGCATTATTTCAATCACTCCCGACCCTGTCATTTCACCTCAGCCATGTGACAAGCCCCAGCCCTAAATGAATCCAACTCTCCACCTTCTCCGAGCCTGCCTGTGGACAGCAGAGCAGTGCTAGAGAAAAAGCCCACAGCCAGGCACTGCAAATTCATAATCCAGGATCTTAACTGGGGTAACAATTTCATCTGACAAGCTTAGCCTTTTGGCCTTTTCTAGTTAGCTTACTCTCACACTTCCCATAACTAGTTAAAAACTTCTCCACTCTATTATTCAATGAATAATGAGTGCCTGTGAGGTACCAGGCAGTCTTCTAGATACTAAGATACTACAGTGAACGTTAATAGATGAAATCCCTACTCTCATCAAGCACACACTTAATGGACACAGACAATTAACAACATAAATAAGGAAAAATATCTTAAATGCCATTAAGGAAAATAAAGAAGGGGGTTATAGAGTGCTGGAGAGGTTGTAGTTAAAAAAATGTTTTTGAAATACTTAATTTAACTATGGAAAAAAGTCAATAAGCATACAACTTGCTGGATTTTCACAAGTTGAAACATCCTATAACTTATAAAAGAGCTGGGAAAGGTCCCACTGAAAAAAATGCCATTTAAGCAGAGACCTGAGAGAAAGGGAGTGAGGCAGTTGAAAATCTAAGGGAAGAGCATTCCAGACAGGAGAAATGGCCAGTGCAAAGGCCCTGAGGTAGCAGCTTGTGAGTTTGGGGAAGCAAGGAGAACAGTGTAGCTGGAATGCAGTCATAAAAGACGAGATCAGAGATGTAATGAGGACCAGATTGTATAGAACCTTGTGGGCAACCAGAAGGACTGTGGTTTTTACTGAGTGACATGGAAAACCACTGGAGAATTTTAAGCAGGAGAGTCAGCAGTATCTATGCTGTAAATAGAAGAGGTCTGAGGACTGAAGCCTGAGGTATTGCAAGTTTCAGGTCAGAAATGAAGGGAAACCTACTAAAGCATTTAAACAGTGGATGAGTGAAATAGAAAGGGTAGCAAGAAGGAAAATCAGGAAATTCGTATTATGGAAGGCCCACAAGGTGGTTACAATAATGAAATAGTGTTGAGTGCTGCAGATCGGGTGAGACAGGTCAGCGTTAACCTTGACAAGAGCAGTTTCAGAGGATCACTGGGGATGCATGCCTAACCGGAATGGGTTCAGGAGATCACCAGAAAAAGGATATGAAAATATAGAGCACTCTACTGAGGTGTTTAACTGTGAAAGGGAACAGAGAAATGGCACAGTACATGGGGAAAGTAAGGATTCAAGAGGACTATGGCGGATGTGTGGTGAACAACTTAGATCTCAACTTTAGGACCAAGGTACTCATTCCCCCAGCACCTTTCGAGTGCTGGCTGCTGATGGCTCACAGCTGCAGTGCTGCACACATTGCCTCTGGCTGATTTTTTTTTTTTTAATTTTTTTTTTTAATGTTTATTTATTTTTGAGACAGAGAGAGACAGAGCATGAACAGGGGAGGGGCAGAGAGAGAGGGAGACACAGAACCTGAAACAGGCTCCAAGCTCTGAACGGTTAGCACAGAGCCCGACGCGGGGCTCGAACTCACGGACAGTGAGATCATGACCTGAGCCGAAGTCGGACGTTTAACCGACCAAGCCACCCAGGCGCCCCTGCCTCTGGCTGTTTTACACTACTACAGAAGAGCCGACAGCACAGAGCTCACAAAGTCTGAAGTATTTACCATTTGACCTTTAACAGAAAAAGTCTGCCAACTCCTGCTTTAGTGGCTTCTTTGATGACCGAAGCTACATGTAGAATTTATCAAGTCATCAAGTGACAGCAAAATAAAGTAAAACGTCTAGCTCATTTCCTTTCTATACTATCCACAATATTCTCTGGTGCCTGATGTCATAGCTAAAGAGAGATGCTTAGCTCAAGCAAAGGAGGGGAAAAAGAAAAAAGTTCAGATTCCTACACTTGTTCTTCCTTCCAAATCTAGGCCCAATTTTGCCCACCTATAAACTACGAACACACCGTAACTGAAATGCTAACTTCACAGAAGAATTTCAAAGAGCAGTGATAAAACAGTTTAAAAAGAAAACTTATTGGTACCAGGAAGAACACTAACCTAATTTAGGAGCAAAATTCTCAGTTCATATCCCTTATGAAACTTGTTTGTGGATTAACATTTTCTCTCAATTATCTGCATTTCTTTCTATGCTCCATTTTAAGAGTTTACAAAACTCAAATCTGCTATGGTTCTTTACTATTTCTTATTACACGTTCAAGCCAAATATATACACATGGCCAACTGTTGTCTGCTCTACTATTTCTGAACTGTTTGTTGTAAGTATTAGTCTGCCCTCCCAAAACCAGGGAGTTTATGGCCTGAATTTTAAAAAGTCAGTCATAAAAAACTGCACCATCACTTTTCCTTTATTCTAGCCTGAACATATGCTGGAATTCAGGGTAACAATCAACATATTCCAAGAAAAGCACTTAAGGATAGAGTATAATCAACACCCATTAAAAGCCCCTAAACCTACTTATTAGCCATCAAATCTTCCAGAGTCTCAAACTCCATCTGTAAAATGGCATTAACACTGACTGTTGAAGTTTATATACAATTAGAATATAAGCATGCTATCTCACAGCATCTGAAAATATGAATGAAGCCTACTAATGCAGTGAATGCCAGCACAAATCATTTCTAACCACCTTATACCAAACACTAACCATTAACAATAAATAGCACTTACCAAATGTCAGGCATGGTGCTAACTGCTCCTCTTGCATTCTCTTACCTTACGCTTATACACTTTGAAGTGGACAAATGTTCCTACTATGCTAATCTTACAGGTAAAGAGGATGAGATATAGCGGTTTACTTGCTAAAAGGCATCCATCTCCTGACTGTTGGAATCAGGACTCAAAATCAGGTCTGCATGTCTTTAGAGTCAGTGATTGTGACCATGGTGCTAAATACTGCACCTCTTTAGGTCAGGAATGGACATAAATTACTAACATGAAACACAGCATCACAGGGTAGAAATACATGCTGTTCAGGTAAAGATGGTAGATTGAGCACATGCACCTACTTCCATTCCCTCCCAAAATTCCATTAAATGACAGCAAAGATTTTTGTTTTAAGCCATGAACCTAAATGAATGGAAAAAGAGAAGAGGAGATAACATCAAAAAGAAGTTGGAAAGCGGATGGACAAGTAGTAATTAACATGGTAGACCCAAGAAAAGTGAATCCTGAGTCAGCAGTAGAAAAGCAAAACAAACAACTCAATTCACATCACAGGATCCTTAAAAGGTTCAGAAACTGGTGCCTTCATAGACCTTTGGAAGTAGGAATGAAGGGGTAGGCACTAAAGTAAGAACTGGTTGAAGGTTTAAGTATTCAGAATGCTCTCTGCAACTTACAGTTAAGCAGCCTCTTTTCCCTAGCTCCCTCCCCAAATCAGAAGTTTACTTTCTGAAAAGGGTAAAACAGAGGGTTCTTTGGATTGTGGGATGCCAGGCAGTTATGGGCACAGGTACTGTACTCAATACAGAGACTCAGTGAGCAAATGCATACTGGACAGGAGATAAACAAGATACAAGACAGAAACAAAAGATCCAACATGGAAAACAAGGAAAAGGAATTCCCAGGATTGTGGTAAAGGGAGATCCCAGAATAGAGCCATCCACCAGGCACAAGTGACTGTAGTCCAGACTGAGACAGGTCAGAAAGCTCCAGGAAAGACTTAATCGGGAAGACGGAACAGCACACTTGATGAAACTGAACACTGTGAACAATGTAGATATATGGCAAAGAGTCTAGTTGATTCAGTTTTTAAGTTCATAGAAAATGAAGTCTCGGAAAACCAGAAAGATGTACAGGAAGGAAAACAAACATGGGCGCCTGGCTCAGTCAGTTAAACATCTAACTCCTTCCTGGTTTTGGCTAAGGTCATCTCAGGGTCAGTGGGTTTGAGCCCTGAGTCAGGCTCCATGCTCATGACACAAAGCCTGCTTGGAATTCTGTCTTCCTCTCTATCTGCCCTTCCCCCACAGGTGCACGCTCTCTCTCTCTCAAAAATAAACATTAAAAAAAGAAAACTGGCATTTAGAGCCCTCATGAAATTAATTCAAACGAAAGCACACAAATAAGTACATTGGAAAGAAGAAGAAATGAGAAGAGATAAGAGCGCTGGAGGTAAGGATAGGAAAGAGAAGTCAGTAGGCAATGTCTACAACAGAAAAATCACGAAGTACCAATACTAACATGCTATTCAAAGACAAAAGTAAATATAGTTACCTAAATATACCAATATAGCTACCTAATTTAGTTACCTAAAAAGAGGTGAATGTAAGTTGCCTCTACAAAGAAAGTTAAGGACTGTCCTCTTCCCCTAACAAACTTAGAGAACTATTTGACTTAAATTATAGCAATTTTTTCCTTTGGTGGAACTATATATTCCCAGCATCAAGCAGTAATGTTGCCTTTCACAAAGACTGCTTAATAAAATAATTTCACTCTATCAGCATTAGCAAATCCTCCAGTCCAAAACAAGAGTAACTCAAATTAACGTAGTTTGTAACAAACAATATTAAAGAGGTCTCACCAGTGATTGTCGGTCTGCAGCAAAAAGCAGGTTAAGAGAAATAAAATCCAATCTTTTTCTTAGTTGGTATTTTAATTAAAAATATAGACTAATGGTCCTGGGCTTAAATGTTGTTGTGGCTGTGTGCTGGCTTCTGTAAAATATAACTAATCAAAAGGAACTCTTCAACAAATATACTCCAGACAGAAGTAAAAAGGTAAACAGAAATGACTAACAAGACAGTGCTACTGCAGACATAATTCCCTTATAATTTATACTTGCTAAAAAATGGAGTTTAACATTACTTACAATTAATTATATCAACATTCACAGAGGCTGAACATCACAAGCATATGGGTGTACCATCACCACAAAATGTCTTTACTTCTCAAGCAGTTTTAAATTTTAGCTATGAAGGTCAGTTACCAGAGGCCAAACTTGTTCTTAATGAGTAGAATTTTTATGTCCATTCAGAGTCTCTTACATCTTTCGGGGCCTATTCATTTGCAGATAGGAGTAGAAGTTGTAACCGGGTTCCTCTTATCATGCATTCACATGTGATGTTCATCTTCATATGCTATCCAGTTTCTTTAGGATAAAAGGTGCTGAAAGAAAAATAAACATCCAGAATTTCAGATCTATTAGCCCATAAGTTATATTATGGAATTTGTAAGACTGGGAAAATCTTACAGATTTAGATTTAGTTCAATACATTTTTTTAAGTGACTCCCTACAATGGCCTGCACAACCCAGTAAGAGACCCCCTGTCTTTCCAGTGTCATGAAGCTCTGTCTATTCTAAGTTTTTCTTACACTGTATAAAACCTTTTCTCTAGGAAGTTCTCCCTCATAGGGCCATAAAGAGTAAATTCAATCCTCTTTCAAAGGACATTTTTTTATTCTGGGTAATTTAACTATCAGAGGAACAAAACACTTGAAGAAACAAATTGGCATTTTCCACCTTTTAAAACCTATTTGAAAAAAGGCAGAAAGTGGGAGAAAACACTTAACTAGGTAATGAGGAGAGCCAGACACACATTTAGGTTCTCCCAATGATTAGCTATATATCACTTATGCAATCCAGATCACCTATGATACAGGTGAACTACTTCAGTTCAGAGAGAGAGAATGTGTGTGCACACATGGAGTAGGAGCAGAGAGAGACTCTTAAGGAGGCTCCACGCCCAGCACGGAGCCAGAAACCTGAGCTGAAATCAAGAGCCAGATGCTTAACCGACTGAGCCAACCAGGTGCCCCAGTCCTACTTCAGTGCTTATGGGGGTCTGGTAGGATGGTACACACAGAAATGTCTGGAAAAAAACAAATGCTGTCGTAGGGAGCTAAAGAAGTGATATTATTGTCCTGTGTAAAAGCGCTATGGCCAAAATAAGCACACGAAAAGAGGTTTAACATTACTAGTCACTAGGAAAATGCAAATTAAAACTACAGTGACCTACCACCTCACACCTATTAGGATGGCTACAATCAAACTGTCAGCAAGGATGTGGAAAACTTGGAACCCTTGTGCACTGTTTGTGGGAATGGAAAATGGTACAACTGCTTTGGATCAGAGTATGGTGGGTCCTAGGAAATTAAAAATAGGGCTATCTGTAGATCCATGTTAGAGCAGCATTATTCACAGTAGCTAAAATGTAGAAGCAACCCAAATCCAAAAATAGATGACTGGAGAAGCAAAAATGGTATACGACGGAATATTAGTCTTAAAAAGAGATTCTGACATACGCTATGACATGGAGGAACCTTAGGGACCCTAGGTGAAGCGAAATAAGCCATTTACAAAAAGACAAATACTGTATGATTCCACTTACGAGATCCTTAAAGAGATGTCAAAATCATAGAGACAAAGCTTCAGTTTTACAAGATAAAGAGTTCTAGAGATGGATGGTGATGGTTGTACAACATTATGCATGTATTCAATACCACTAAACTACACACTTAAAAATATTTAAGATGATAAATTTTACCACAATAAATTTTTTAAAAAAGGGGAGGAGGTTGTGTGGACAAAAGAGCTGCCAGAAGTATCTTCTCAATACCCATAACGAAAGTAATAAAACATATTGTTAATATTAAACTGAAGATATTGAGATCTGTTGAAGGCTGACAAAGTTGGCAATATTCCCAGGTATCTCTACTAATTCTTATCAGACAAAACTGTAACATCCATCAGGTGAATGGATAAAAATGTGGCATATCCACACAATGGAATGTTATTTGGCAATAAAAAGGAAGGAAACACTAATACACGTTATAATATGGATGAACTTTGAAAACATCATGGAAAGTGAAATAAGCTAGACACAAAAAGTCACATATTCTACAATTCCATTGGTATGAAATGTCCAGAATAGGCAAATCCATAAACATGGAAAGTAGATTAGTGGCTGCCAAGGGAAAGGGGAAAATAGTGACCAGTTAATGGGCATGGAGTTCACTTTAGAGTTAAAATGTTCTAAAATGGATCGTAGTGATGATTGCAAACTCTGACCATGCTAAGAACCATTCATTATACACTTTATTTTTAAATTGCTTTTATTTTAAATTAAAGTATAATTGACATACAGTATCCCTATTAGTTTCAGGTATACATCAAAGTGATTCACAATAACTCTAGTTACCACAAGAAATTATTATAGTATTCTCTATGCTGTACATTGCATCCCTGTGACTTCTTTTATAACTGCAAGTTTGTACCTTTTAATCCCCTCCCCCTATTTTGTCTATTCCCTATCCTATTCCCCACTGGAAACTACCAGTTTGTCTATTTATGAGTCTGTTTCTGTTTTGTTTGTTCATTTGTTTTTTTAAATGCTTATTTGTTTTGAGAGAGTGAGCGCAAGCAGGGGAAGGGCAGAGAGAGAGGGGGGACAGAGGAGTCAAAGCAGGCTCTGTGGACAGCAGAGAGCCTGATGTGGGTTTGAACTCACAAACTGCGAGACCATGACCTGAGCCAAAGTCAGATGCTTCACTGACTGAGCCGCCCAGGTGCCCTGTTCATTTGTTTTCAAAGATTCCACATATAAGTGGAATCATGGCATTCATCCTTCTCTGATTTCACTTAGCATAATAACCTATAGGTCCATCCATGGTTGTTGCAAATGGCAAGGTTTCATTTTTATGGCTAAGTAATATTCCACTGTATATACACATCTTTATCCATTTATTGGTAGACACTTAGGTTGAACTGTACACTTTAAATGGGTGAACCATATATTATGAAGTACATCTCAATTTTAAAAGTGGCAATGTGGAACAGTATTCTGTAAGTTTTTTTAAAAGAAAACCAATTCATATCAGATACAAAGGTGACTGAAAAGAAGCAAGTATTTTACTGGCAGCTAAGTCAACAAAAAAAAGGTAAGAGGAGAAAGTTAAGTTGGGAGTTGCAAAAAGCTGTTGAAGGAGGACGACTTGGGAGTTTCTATTCAGCAGGGCTCCCTCTCCTGGGGAAGCAGAGTAGTAGCATAGTCACTAAAGGGTTACCAGGCTACAGGAGCTCTGGCCCAGGCCCAACGTGAGCCTTCTACAGGGTGACCTTGGAATGCCTTCATCCCTGCCAGCAATACACAGCAAGGTGCAATGAAGAGTACTGAACTGAGAACGGGGTATGTGTGTGAGCAAATAACTTTTGAGATGCGTATCAATAAAACTACAGAAGTGACCTACAAAGCCCAGATCTAACATTCAGTGTGCCTTTAACGCTGATGTTTTGCGTTAAGACCCCCTTTGAAGGGTGAGTTCTCGCTTGCAAAAGGGATATACAGAATCTCTGGCCCGGCCTCCTTCAAAGCGCTGTCAAACAAGTTTCTGCCAAACATAAATTCAAATAAGCCTTCAGGTATTATTATTAATGCTATAAACTCCTATCCTTTTATTCTCATTCCTTAAAAAACAAAACAAAACACCGCAATTACTTATTTCACCCTGTGTATTAACAAGCAAAACTTCTTGTATTTCAGAGATCAACACTGAAGGGAGGAAACCTGGTAGTAGGAGCTCTGGATTCTAGACCAAGATCATTCACTGAATCGCTGAGTGACCTTGAGCCAGCCATTTCTCTGCTCTAGATCTCCGTTTCTGTCGACAAAACGTGGGAGCAGCTAAGGAATGGGGGGAGGGGGGGGTTTAATCCCTTGAGGCTCTTTCAATTCAAGCTCTCCTAAGGCAGGGCGAAGCTGGACGATAACCCTCGCAGTCCGGACCACCGCGTGCACTTCTGTACCCGAACCCCGACCCGCAGACCCTAAGCCACGCATGTGCCCGCCACTCTCGACGCGCAAGCCCCACGCTCCCTGCGACCGCCCAGCTCACTCCACTCAAGGGCCCCCAAGGACTATAGGACCACAATTAGGTGGGTGGTGTCCGCGAGCTTCCCGCTGGTCTCACGGCCGCAGCCTGGAAGGACACTCACTGACTCGCAGCAGGGCCACGTAGATGAGGAAGTTCCGTATGGAGGAGATCACATCCTCGCGCATCTTCCGTTTCATCTCCTCGGGGTCCAGCTTCGGCGCGAGGCCCTCGATTCGGAACATGCCGGCTTTCCTTTTTCCACTACCAGCTACCACGTTCTGCTTCTCTCAGCGGCTGCCCGGCACCCGGAACTCTGTCCTATCCCATTTCCTGTTCCCGCCCCTTCGTTTTCGCGCGCAGCGACGGGAGGCTGCGAGGGACAATCCTCGTTCGGACCGCGAGGTTCTGCAGGGGGCTGCCTGAAGGGGGCGGTCGCAGTCTTAGCGAGAGGTCCCCCTGGCTGTTAACACCTTCGTCTTGAGCTGGGCGCGCCACAGCGCAAAGTGCTTTTACGCCTCAGAGGGGCGAAGCACGTAGATACCACTATAAATAATAATAATTACCGTTCTACGCAGTGAACTGGATATTAAAACCTTCATTTCCTAGATGAGAAAACTGAGGCACAGAAAGCTTTAAAAACAACTTGCCCCCAAATACTTTAAAATACCTTAGGGGCGAAAAAAGTGTTGAGGAGGGAAAATGAAACGGTATTAGCAAAACGTTGTAAATTGCTTAAGCTTGTGATTAACATATTGTTTTAATTTAGTCCATTTTGAGTACGTTTGAAATTTTTCGTAAGTTAAAACAAAAAGATGAAGATGATGACGCTTGAGATTACACAACTAGTAAATGCAGTAGGTTTTTTTTTTTTTAATGTTTATTTATTTTGGGGAGACAGAGAGATAGAGTGCAAGCAGGCAAGGGGTAGAGGGAGAGAGACACAGAATCTGAAGCAGGCTCGGAGCTCCGAGCTGTCAGCACATAGCCCTACGCGGGGCTGGAACCCACCAAGCACGGGATCATGACCTGGGCCGAAGTCGGACGCCTGACCAACTGAGCCACCCAAGCACCCCAATGCAGTAGGTTTTTTAAATAAATGTTATTGTCATCCTCATTTTATTATTTACACATTTATTTTTAAGAATGAGATCTATGTCCAACCTGGGGCTTAAACCCTGGACCCTAAGATCAAGAGTCACATGCTGTACTGACAGAGCCAGCCAGGTGCCCCTGCAGTAGGGTTTTATATTTAGACTTGTGGGACCCAAGCATAAAAGTTTTCAACTCCATATTATTGCCGTATTCTCATTTCTGGTTTTAAGTGATCCTTACAAATTATAGTATCGGTACAGTAATATAGTATGTATAAAACGAATTCAGCTCCCTTCAACATTTTACAAATGAGGAGAGGGAGGCTGAGAAACCAAGTGCACTGCTTAAAGTCATTCCGCTAGTGATAGGCAGGGGCAGGGTTCTAATGCAGGTAATCATAATGCCAAGTTGAATTCTCTTTCCCTTGCACCTCTGTTAGTCTTTAACGGTTAGTGCCTTCCTTGATGGGAATCACTGGACTCAGGAGGTAGAGGTTTAGTGCAATCAGATTTCCTGCCACAGATTCATCAAAACAGCGCTGCCCCAAATTTTGCATGCCAACTAGCCGTATATCATTTTTAGACACAAATTAGATAACTGAATTGCTCACATATTTCAAAACCAGAATGTACCTTCTAGATTGCCCACTGCATAGCAACAATGGATTTTGGGTAAATTAGAACAGTAATTTACTGTGATAACTGATCACTAAAGCATTGCTGCCCACCTTCCTGGTTGACAGAATATAAAACATTGGGGCAAGAAAGAGAACTCATCTGTGCATTCAGGCTTTAGTAACCCCTTGTATCTATAATTCATGCCGTGGAATAGCAGAGGCAACTCTGGAATGGGAGGGGCTGACTCCCAAGGAATAGCCTCCATCCAACACTTTGAGAGTGTTGAAAGCCTGCACTGATGCTGGAAAGCGGCAGGGGCTGTGGAAAGAACCTGAACAGGAAGACTGGAGACATGGCCTCTAGATTTGGCACTGACACTATCAAGCCATGTGACGAAGGACAAGTCTCTCTTTCACTGCAACTCCATTTCTTTAGAAGAAGAGAGAAGGGAGAAGATATGATTAAGTGCTCTTGAGAGTCCCTTTCAGTTCTAACAGTCTAAGCATTTTGAATTCTAATTGTGTCATTTAGGGCATTCTGGTCTGAAGTATATGGATATCAAAACATTATCCAATGTGGTCGGTCAGACGTCAAAACAGCCAGTGTGTATTTTCTGGGGTAGGGAGACTGTCACAATAAGGTACATCTCATCCGTCTGAATAGTGAGGCAAAATGAGTTGGCAAGGAATGAGTTCTTACGTGTGCCAGTAACTTAGATCCCTAATGCTGAGTTTAGAAAAACAGCCCTCCTGAAGAACTACCAGTTTTTCTTTACTGAGATGCTTTTGAGTAACTTGCCTGGATTCACAGGGAACCAAAGAGGGAAGAAATTAGCAGAAAATCGTGTGTCTTGGTACAAAGGTCCAATTTTTAGCACTTGAATTTTATTCATCCAATGCTGTATAAAGCAGCACTTGACCTGACAGGTGATGTGGAGGCAACTAGCTGACCTGATCAAAGGCAACATTATTCTCCTAACAATTCTCTTAGAGAGGCTTTGTGCTTGCCAGCCTACCTGTAGAGAGACAGGAAGGTAGTGGACAGAAATAAGGAACAGTTGGTCTTGAGGTGAGGAACTGGTTCTGGATACAATCTAGGAGGGTGAACTCCTCCTGAACTATTTCAGAAATGTTTATCCTGGGGGCAGCCAGGTGATTCATTCAGTCGGTCGAGTGTCTGACTCTCGATTTCAGCTCAGGTCCCAGCATTGTGAGACTGAGCCCCTGCGTTGGACTCCGCACTGGGTATGGAGCCTGCTTGGGATTCTCCTTCTCTCTCTTTCTCTCTGCCACTCCCCCACTCTCACTCTCTCTGTGTCTCTCCAAATAAATAGGTAAATATTAAGAAAAAACAAAAAGAAATGTTCATCCTGATGAAGTCTGTCTTCCCCTTGCCTGGCTCTTCTAACTTGTAATGGAGGAAACTCATTAAAAGAGGTTAGGCTCCTTTCTTTGTCTTTCTTTAGTGCCCCTCGTCTTTTGGGGGTGGCATGTAGGTGGTGGTTCGTTTAAGTGAGGCAAACTGAGAGAATGTACTTCAGAAAGTTAACACTGGAGTGAGCTGTGGCACAGCTTGGACTCTTCATTTTCTTCCTCATTGCAATGATCAGGGGGTTGGGACTGATCTTTAAAATCACTTGCAGCTCAAAAATGCTGAAATTATATGTTCATCTTTTCCTGTTCTTCCTTCATAACCTTGCATTAAAGGCTAAAGGCAAAGGATTCCCTGTGATTTTGCCATGAAAAGCAAAAATAAAAACTATACACACATAATTTAATATTGATATTTGTGTTAGTCTGATCATAGAGGAAATGGTAGCTGATGTCATAGCCTGTCTTGTTTTCCATTTTGATCCCAGGAGGGCTTTAGGAGCTATTTCCTTTGCCTCAACTTCCCAGACACTACAGCACACAAACATACAGTGGGCACAATTTATCCATGAGAAAATTAAATGCTTTAATTTCCATCATTGGGGAGGAATTTGTATTTATAAGATCAGAGATTGACAGATGATTCATGATTGGGGAATAATTCCAACATGTAATCACAGGAACCTTGTGGTTTCTAATGTATAGGGAGCTATAGGCCTTGGGAATTGAATAGTTGAACCCCTTCATCTGGCAGATAAGGACACTGAGGTCCAGAAGGAACCTATTAGAGGTAGAGCTAGTTGGAACTGAGGTAGGTCTCTGGGCTCGCAGTGCAGCACTTTTCACCATTACCTTGCAGCTTTAATACTTTGTGGATATTCTCATTGATGATCTTCCCCTCAGAGGTAAGGACTGGAAGAATGGGGTGTTGTTCAACTTCAGCTTGGGAGGGACAGGATAAAGCCTTGCTGCTCTTCATCAAGAGGCTGATGGCAGTCCTTCTTTCCATGTTTCCACCCCTATCACCGGTAGTTAATCTGGACTGTTCCGTTATCCAGCTGCACACCTCTCCTTCCTCATTCCTTCAGGAGATGAACATAGGCTGGTGTTCCCAAAATAAACTTTGTTTTGAAGTTCACTTAGGACCCGACATGAACGAAACAAAGATTGGGACAAGCAAAGGATTACTCTGTGATAGATGTTAACCGGAGTCCTCACCCAGCAGATGGGATAACTTACTTCTAGAAAGTACTGCCCAGCAAGAGTCATCTTCAGGAAGAGGGACTTTTGGAATTTAACAGATGAGTAGAATTTTGATAACCTTCATCTCCCTGGTATTGGCTTTCCATAATACCCTATTCTCTGTTGTAATTTGGGGGGCTTTGTTGTCTGGATGATTCATGAGTATTTGATCTTTCAAAGTAGACTGTAAGCACCTCAAGTACAAGGAACATGCACTTCAATCCTCCAAACACCTGAGGACAGGTATTTATACATAGTAAAAACTCAGAAAGTACCCCCTGAGTGGATGAATGAATGAACGAATGAACTTCTTATCTGCTAACTTTTCAAATTAAAAAATCAGTTGCATATTACATTGAGAGGAAATTATCCCCCAAAGAAACTTACCCAAAATTCTACATAATATTTTTATTTAGTGATTTGTTTTTCACTGTTTTTGTACAGTGTGCTTTTGTTTGCCTAAATAAAAATCAGGTAAATAATTGGGGCGCCTGGGTGGCTCAGTTGGTTGAGAGACCGACTTTGGCTCAGGTCGTGATCTCATGGTTTGTGAGTTCGAGCCCCGCATCGGGCTCTGTGCTGACAGCTCAGAGCCTGGAGCCTGCTTCTGATTCTGTGTCTCCCCCTCTCTCTGCCCCTCCCTCACTCATGCTCTGTCTCTCTCTGTCTCAGAAATAAATAAACATTAAAAAAAATTTTTTTAAATAAAAAAAATCCTGTAAATAATCTTATCATAGACAAAATGAAAGAATGAACCTTAACATTTACTTGCTTTATTTATAGCCATACAATTATATGAAACCCATTTTATGCTTTTAATAACTTCTTTTTCCACAAAACTACTTGTTTACTTTTATGAAATTTAGAAAATACATAATTAAGGGAAAAAGAAGAAAAGAACAGTCCCCTATAATCCCACAACCGCTACTGACACATTGATGATCATTCTTTCAGCCTTTCTATTTCTATTGTACACATATGTAGTTCT